GTTGAGAGAAGCCTTGTCTTGGTTTTTGGAGGTCCAAGTGGTGACCTTTGGTGTTAAAGAACCAACCTTTGTGTTGCTATTTTCGTGCACCTTGAGGGACAGTACCTTAGCACCTGATTTGGGAGCTCCAAGAGCATCTCCATCCTCTGTTTTGGGCTTGTGGTATGATCATCACACTTTAACTTGAGCTTTATGCTTAAAAATGGAAGCTTGATGCATGTTAAGGCTAAAAGATGATAACTTAACGTTGGGTAATGTCAAACACACCTAGAAGTGCATGTTTAAGTGTTTAAAATCGGTAAAAACCCAACTTTTGAAGGATATCTTCACGAAATGCAGTTTCTGCATTCTGTCATGAAATATCCGGATATCTGCCCGTGGAATATCCGGATATTGGATATCCGGATATGGTATCCGGATATGTGATATCCGGATATGGTATTCTGGATATCCGAATATTGATATCCGGATATGCACAGTGGGATATCCGGATATTGCATATCTGGATATGTACCCGAGGAATATCCACATATTCTGGGATTTCGTAGAACAGTAGCTGTGCTGTGTGTACAGTAGGCTATTGGGGGTTTGTGGACCCTAGATTGATGAAGTTGAACTTCTTTCATTAATGGACTAGGTCAGAATCATGTGATTAAGGGCTTATGGCTTTGTTGGGAGCCTTAAGACGTAAATCGTTAAGGAGAACGTAGTCTTTATGTTAATGCTTTTGAGTTATGTATGTTGATACACTTACTGGTCCTAAATCAGATTGTGATCTGCTGTGTGTTGGACTTGAGCTGTGAAGACTCTTGGCTTTGGATAGTGAGCTTGCAAGGTAAGCTTTCGTGTCCTCGGTTTAGCCATGTTGTGGTTCCACCATCTCCCATGGGGGTATAGTATATGCATGCTGTGTTACATGCTTTTGATGTTTGGAAATATTGTTGAGCTGTTATATGTTAGTGTCTTGTTGATATGCATGGAGGTGTTCCACCTATACGGTAAGCCTGAGTATGTAGAACATACAATAGGGTGAGACTGTGGGTGAGGTGCAAGCGGTTTTCCTTGTACTACATGTAGGTATAGACATATTCCTACATTTCTCTGGCCAGTAGAATAGTGATTACACACATGCCATAGATATCAGTTGCACTACATAGTTTTGGAACTGATAATGATATAAATGCTTTTATAACTTATATTGCACATGTAAGTGAGCTTGGGGTGGAAGATCCTTGAGGACCCCTTGTCTTACTGAGATTTCTTGTTTAGAGATCTCACCCCACGTTTGGGGAATGCTTATTTCAGGATCAGGTAATGTTGAGACCTCAGGCGGCAGGAGGCCGGAGCTGAGTTAGATTTTCTGTTATTTATGCTGACATGTTGGATGCTGGATTTGTATGCTGCTTATATGCTTATAGCTTCAGTTCATGTTTATGGAGTTTTATGTTAAGACTTGTTGTTTACGCTGTTTATTTGGTGAGCATGGGGATTGTCCATGACACATAGTACTGTTTCGTCTTGAGTCTTTTGGGAGTTGTAATAATGTATCAGGATATTATCCGGATTACGAGATGTAATGCCGTGATTTAGATACACACTTTATTTATATATTGAGGTATTTCAGTAGATGTCTTATTGCAATTTACATATAGGCGATATTTTATGAAATTGATTAAGTAATTAAGATGGTAGTTAATAATGACGTCATAATTGAAAAGAAAAAGAATATTCCGCATTTTTAATTAAGCACCGCTTAATACGATGTAATGATAACACTACCGGATATATACTGGGTGTTACACTATTACCACCACCACCACCACCACCATTACCACTACTATCGCCGCAGCCACTTCCGTCACCACCACTACAACCACCACGCCGCCGCTGCCTCCACCACCACACCATATGATAAGGAAAGTGATGATCCGAAATTTTTTATGCTTAATAGGAATTATTTTTTATTATGTTATTTATTGTGTTATCAAACACAATTCTTGTTCACGGAATAAAAATAGAACATGTTATCAAACATATTTTTTTTCTTAAAAACTATTGCAAGGCACAAAAAAAAATAAAAAATTATTTCTTTCCAAAAACAGTATCGGGGAACAAAATGGTTGCATGCACACCTTAACTTTTTTACTTAACTTGAATGTTCCAAAATATACCTTTCAACATAACAAAAGTTATAATGGTCAATGACTATAAATATGACTGACCTTGAAGGAATAACTATTATTATAATAGTTCAAATTTCAGTTATAAAATTATGGAATAATAATTATGCATCAAATGTGTGCACTTTTTCCTTTTAAAGAAAAAGAGAATGATTACCAAAAAGAAAAAGAAAAAGAGAATTCATTGGGAGTGTATTTGGAGATGGGATAGTCCAGAGAGAATTCAAACTTTTCTCTAGTTAGTGTTGCGGAATAAGCTCATGATAAATTCTAGTAGATTCCAGTGCAGTATATCATCAACCGAAATTTGTCCTAAATGCAACCTTGATAGAGAGACGATTATGCATGCTATTAGGGACTGCAAAGTTTCCAGGGAGGTTTGACAGTTACTCACAGAACAAAACCAATTGCATGATTTTATGAATTTGGATCTTTAAGAGTGGATTCTGCAGAATATCAACTTGGCCAATCACATGAGTTGTTACCCACATTGGCGGCTAATTTTCGACATTATAGCTTGGTTTTTATGGAAAGACAGAAATGATGTTGTTTTTAAGGGTTCGAGTTGTAGTTCTTTTGGCATAATGCACGCAGCTATGGCTTATAAGGATAATGTTCTGTTGGCTAAGAATATGTTCTTAGTGACACGAGTGGAGTCAAGAACTCGAACGGAGAAACTTATAGCTTGGTCCTTTCCTCCTTTGAATTGTATTAAGATAAATGATGATGGGGCTAGTTCTACTGATGGATTACATTCAGACTGTGGTGGTGTCCTTCGGGATAGCTCCAATAACTGGGTTATTGGTTTTTGTAAGAATCTAGGAAGCGGAACAGCTTTGAATGCAGAATTGTGGGCCTTCTTGGTGGGTCTAGAGGTAGCTTGGAGCAAAGGTTTTAGAAATGTGTGGGTAGAAGGAGACTCTCAGATGGCTCAACAGCTGATCCTTAAGGGATGTAGTTAATCTCACCCATCTTCCAGTTTGATTAGTCACATCAGGGAATTTCTGGCCAAGGATTGGAATGTTATTATTTATCATATCCATCGTGAGGGGAATGCAGTGGCCGATTGGCTAGTTGCTTATGCTAGCAACTTTTCTTCGAATGTTCAGATTTTGGATCTTGCACCTCAAGAGTGCATGCATCGATTGTAAAGTGACTTCACCTAAACTCACTGGCCTAGGCTCTGTGCTTAGGTTGTTTATTTTCTTTTTGTCTGTGTTTTTTTTTTCTTTTTCATCCTGTGTCCAAAAAAAAAGAAAAAAAAAGAATGGATTCGCATTTTGTGTATCCGTGACAAATTAGGGCAAAAAATTTAATTTAATGCTTTTTAATAAATTAATTACGCATTTATTACAGTTTTTTTTAAAATACGGATTCGATGCACAATGTCACGCTCAATTTGGGCGTCACCAATCACGCCTAATTAAGGCGTCATTAAAGAGGCAGTTACGTCTAATTTAGGCGTCACTCGTCAGGTGTTGACACATGTCACATTTTTTTTCCAATAAAAAATTAACAATTTAATCGTAAAACTTTTGAAGGCTATAACTGTTAACACAGATATCCAAATCGGGTAATTCTTTTTTTGATTCCACATAACTTTTCGAGATCTACGCAATGACATCTCATTTGATATATTTTATTTCTCACAAACATAATTTAAATTTACAAGAATGATATTATAAGAGCGGTAAAATAAAATCCTTCTTCCTTAGAGATTTAGAATATTTATTTAATTATTTCTTTTATTAATACAGATTTTTCAAATTGATTTTTGAGTTTAAATCACAAATCAAATCTTTATTTTGTTTTCCTTATTAATAATAATTCTTATTTTTAATTTAAATCACAAACCAAATTTTTTTATAATAAAAAAAAATTTGCTTACCAAAAAAAAATAAAAAATTTATTTTTTTAATTTAAATCACACATCAAATCTTGATTTATTTTTATATTAAATCACAAACCCAGAACTCAGATGCTTTTGGATTTAACCGCTCTTATAATACCATTCTTGCAAATTTAAATTGTGTTTATGATAAATAAAATATGTCAAATGAGATGTCATTGCGTAGATCTCGAAAATTTATGTGGAATCAAAAAAAGAATTACTTGATTTTGATACCCGACTCAAAAGTTATGACTTTCAGAAGTCTTACGGTTAAATTGTTAATTTTTTTTTTGAAAAAAAAATCACGACACGTGTCAACACCTGATGAGTGACGCTTAAATTAGGCATGATTACCTCTTGAGTGACGCCCAATTTAGGCGTGATTGGTGTGACGCCTACATTAAGCGTAAGTGTCTCTTGATTGACCCTGAATTTCGACGTGATTGGTGACGCCCAAATTAGACGTAATATTGTGTAATTATTTCCAAAACTGCCATAAATTAGTAATTTTTTATTTAAAAAATAATAAATTAATTTTTTTGCCGACAAATTAGAGTTTTCTGTACTAGCTAATAGGGGTGAAAGTGGGCTGGGCTGGGCCGAGCTTTGCCCCGTAAAGCCCAAGCCTATGCCAAAAAAAACAACTACCCCTAATATATTTGACCCGACCCGATAGCATAGTATGAGTCTAACTGTTAGCTTGTCTTGTCCCATTTATAAAAAAACAAATAGCCCAGCCCGGCCCGTTGGCCTGTTAATTTTTAACTTCCAAACTGAACATGAATCAACTCCACAAAATACTCAAATTCTAGTGTGAAGAGAAAATCCCGTTTAAGGCATGAGAATTGTTGCTTTTATTGGATTTAAAAGAAGGTTGTAAAGAAACTTTAAACTACAATATATAAAAAAATAATTTAAAGAAGAGTTCTTTAAAAGTAGTAGTCAATGTTAGCAGGTACCCCTGTTGATAAAATGATAATCAATATGAAGTGATTTTGCCTACCAACCTGTGGAGCAACATCAAACACACAGAACTGCTTATTAAGATTCCCATTCAACTCCAGAATTGCAGCTACATTACCATATCTGTAACAAAGACGAAAATGTCTTACTAAAAGCATCAGAACACAAATAAGAACAGTCATTTTAATCGATTATGCACCTGTAGCAATAATTTGGAGCTGACCAGACAGTAACTATCTGGTTATTGAACATCCATTATATCCTTCCATTACCAACCAGCACCACGGGGACTCAGCCCCCATCCATCCACATTATCTTCAGGATTTGACCATAGGAGGTCACACATAGCACCATCATGAGGTACTTCTTGCTTCCGATCAATAGTTCGTATCTGGATATGAAAAAAGAAGAATATATACAATATTGCTAATGTACAATCTAAGACTTTAAGACAAATAAACTGGGGTAGAATTTCTAACCTGATCCAATGTTGAAATGGCAGGAGAAAGACCACCATGAACACTGAAAATCCTGTTTTCAATTAGGGCGGACAAGCTGCAGTGTGTTTTTCCACATACGAAAGCCATTAGTGAAAGATGCAAGTTATAAAAAGTAAATATGTAAATGCAGTTAAGCAATTTGATATATAAACTATTTCCCGTTAAATCCTAAAAAAAATTATTCTTGCTTATTTTTATATATTTATTAGACAAGGCTATGAAAATAATCAGTTTACAATTTTTGGAATCACCCACCCAAACCCCTTTCCCTCTTAAAATACACAGAAAAGCTACAAAAGCATCCTTCTAGTTTTAACCGAGTTCAAGTCCCCAAACCCAAACCCCTTTCCCTCTTAAAATAGAAAAAATATATATAATATTGCTAATGTCCGAGGAAGCAAGGACTGGGCATCACGATTCTGCAAAAGAAGAAAAACAAGAAACAAATAAATAGACCAGAAAATCATCAATTTCATCTTAATTTCTCAAATCACTTGCAATTATAAAAAGAGCAAACCAAAACCCTAAACCCTATAATCTAGTTAGTGTTGCTGCTACGTGTGATTATGGTGAAAAGGAAAAAGTAGGGAAAACGAAAAGGAAAATGGAGTAAAAGAAAGAGAAAGACCTTCGAAGATAGGAAAATTCAAGACGAGGGAGAGAACTACACTAACAATTGGAGAAGAGTCCCTCTTCAGTTCTCTTTAAGTCTTCACTATTCACTCAAGGAAACACGGAAATGACGGAAGTATAATGAGACTCTCGTAGGGCGTAGGCTGTGCTAAAAAATTATGAAGGTGAATAATTGGTCCAGCCTTGGAGGCTCACGGGCCAGGCTTTATAATTAACATTCCGGCCCAATTATATAAGCAAACTTTTACATCAGCCCAAGCCCAACCTGCCAAGTAAATAGGCCGAGCCAGGCCAGGCCACTAATGGGCCGGACTGTAGGCCACTGTGGGCCGGCCCGGCCCAATTTCACCCCTAGTAGCTGAGTAGCTGCATAACTATTATTCCCTAAAATTATATTGAACAAAAGGGAAAAAATAATTCTGAATTAAACATAAATATACATGCTTTACATTTTACAACAGAAATGTCATTTTATGTTTAATTTCCACGTTGAATTTATCCATTGTATTATTATTACTATTATTATTATTATTATTTTATTTGTTTTTGGAAAAAAATAATTTTCCGTCACGATATTGCTTCCACTATCGTCGTGTTCTTCTTCTGCATCTTCCTCCACTGCAACGCTGTTACCCTTAACATTTCACTTTTCACTTTTACAGTCACAATTTGTTTACCTTCAATTCCTTCAAACTCAACCATAACGATACGACCAACGAAGATCGCAATTCATTCGTAGTTTGGGGAGATCGAAGCACATCGATTTCAACCAAACCACAATCATCATCGCTGCGATTACATTTGTTCTTCCGTTATGAGAGAGCCCAGAGAAGGAACCAAGACCGATAAGACCTCGAAATCTGCATCAACTCCTCTCGTTCTCGACATCGACGACTTCAAGGTACGTTTCTCTTGTTTCTTTCACTTTCGAGTTTCGATTTGTCAACGCTTCTGATTGAACCGAACGTGATTAGGGAGATTTCTCGTTCGACGCATTGTTCGGGAACTTGGTGAACGATCTCCTTCCGTCGTTCAGATTAGAAGAAGCTGAATTGGACGGTGGTGATTCTCTGCCGAACGGGCATCTTCGTGTGCCGTCGCAAGGGGTTTCGAGCCCTTTGTTTCCTGAGGTTGATAAGCTCTTGTCTTTGTTCAAGGATTCCTGTAAGGAGCTGCTTGAGCTTCGTAAACAGGTTTTTCTCTTTTGTTACCTAGTTATTACTTGCCTAGAATTTTATTTAAATTTTTTTTGAGGAATTTAATTTGGGAATTTAGGTTGAGTTTTTAATTTTATTGTATTGTTATAATGTTTTGGATCTAGATTGATGGGAGACTCTACAGTCTTAAGAAAGATGTTTCTGTTCAAGACTCTAAACATCGAAAGACACTTGCTGAGGTTAGTCTGGAATTTATTCTGTTTTTGCAAGTACTTTTGTACCCTGAACCTTATGAAATAGAAAAAATAAAATAAAATATTACTTTGGCACAACGGTTAGTGTTAGTTGCTGTCTATTATATATCCATAAAGTTGGTCTGACCCTTCCTTAGGCCTGGAGATCACAGTTTCAATTCACGTACCTCTTGCTAGAGTAAGTTAAGGCTGTCTAATATGGAGTCACATAATGGGTCTTACCCGCGAATAGCGGGAGCTTTATAGCGCCGGTTGCCTTTTTCATAAAAAACATTTGTTAGCTACCCATATTTTGTGTTTTAATTTTTGTTTTTTGTTTTTCCTATTTTGTTGAGTGGGGTATTCTAGAACTTAATATCTAACCAGGCCCGAAAATCTGTTGGAAAGTTTGGATTGGAATAATCCGTTGAATTTTCTTGCGTGTGTCTTTATTTCCTTTTCAGCTAGAGAAAGGTGTAGATGGATTGTTTGGTAGCTTTGCGAGATTGGATTCACGTATTTCAAGTGTTGGCCAGACAGCTGCAAAGATAGGAGATCATCTCCAGGTAGAGTTCTTCAAAGCTTCACCTATATTTGTTAGTTGAATTATGATCTCACATTTATTTCTACTACAATGTTTTGTAGGTTGGTCAGTTTCTCCTTTTCTATTTGAAATATAATCTCGTTCCTAATACTGTTATTTCTTGTCAGAGTGCAGATGCTCAGAGGGAAACTGCCAGTCAAACAATTGAGCTGATAAAAGTAATATCAGTCAGTTCATTTGGTTTATTCCATCATTCACATTGGGAAATTTACCTTTATGGTTGACTTAATTTCTGCAGTATTTAATGGAGTTCAATAGCAGCCCAGGCGATCTGATGGAGCTTTCACCACTTTTTTCTGATGATAGTCGTGTGGCTGAGGCTGCTTCAATCGCACAAAAATTACGTAAAAATTAAGATCTCTTTTAAATTTTTTATAATGCTTTAACCAAATTACGTCGGTGCTATGCTGATTCTGTTAATTTTTAGGATCATTTGCTGAAGAAGATATTGGAAGACATAGTATAGCTGTCCCATCAGCTGTGGGAAATGCAACTGCTAGCAGAGGATTAGAAGTTGCAGTTGCTAATTTACAGGAGTACTGCAATGGTCAGTATTTTACAAAAAAAACTTGAACAAATTAACTTTTGAATAAAATTGAAGAAACGTATTCGTCATGAAAGTTTTTATATGTTAATTTTGTCAAACAAATAATTAAGGGAACTAAATTTATACTCATTTCCAGTTAAAACTGTTACAACATAGTCGTTTTTCTACTATGATATTATGAATGACAAAGTGCATTATTCTAAATCTAAGATTTTTGTGAGCTTTGTGATTATTTTCTTTCTATTGAGCAGATAAAGTGCTGAGCATCCTTTAAAAGCCGATTAGCTATGTCTAGGTGGAATGTCAGAGAGAGACAGTTTGATTTATAAATAATGTTACAGATTTCTGTGCTTATTAAATATGTTCTTGCTATAGGGCCTCTAATTAGGCTTATTGATTATGTGACACATTTCTATGATCTTCTGGCATTTACCTTATTTGTTACAACAACCAACTAGAATTTGGAATACATATTGACTTCAACGAACAATGAGGAGCTCATATTTGAAATTTTTCCTGAAGCAGTTCTTCCTGCTTTCTTGTGCTCTTTTATCCACACTAGGTGTTCTTTATCTCTAAATGCAAGTGTCTATTTTTAAGGACCTCTGCTTTTATCATGTCCTATCTTCCTTCAATACGGTTTGATCCAAATGTAAACAATATAGAGGAATTAAATCACATGGAAAATTTTATTTACTACCCTTTTTCTTCTGATAGGAAGATTTATAGCAAATGACTTAACCTAGCCTTGAGGCACACAATTCAGTAGTAGCTCAATTCTACCTTTGCACTTTTCCATGGTCCATGGTCAGAATTTTGTTTTTTCCTGCCTTTAAGAATATAAGAACAAACAGATTCTTTTGGATGATATGCTTTTGGAGTAACTGATCTTCTTACATATGGGTAAGACCAAAATATATAGTGGCAGCTCGTGAATATCAAACTCCTTTTGGGTTTCCTTAGTAATAAATGTTTCATAATTCTTTTGCCATTTCTGCAGAACTGGAGAATAGATTGCTTTCTCGGTTTGATGCAGCATCACAGAAAAGAGAATTGACCACAATGGCAGAATGTGCCAAAATTTTGTCTCAGGTAATAAAGCTTTGTGGTACATGATTACACTCCTCTTTCTCTTTCCCCCTTACTCCCTCACTCCCTTTCCCATATTCTACAGCCACTTCCTTATTGGATTTTTTTACTGATAAAATCAAACAGAAAAAGATTCTAAATTATTTGTAGTCGAAATGGTGCTTGATATCAAGGTTGTTGAATTGCAATACGTATCGTGTATCGTTTGGCCAGTTTTTTGTATCGTGAATCGTATCGAATCGTAAGATACAAAAATATAATAATAAATAATTTAAAAATATATAATATAATTAATATCATATAAATCCGAAATCTAAAAAGGATCCAATACGCAAAATACATAAGTTACTAAAGTGCAAACCAGTTATTCTCCACTCATCAATACTATCACTATTAGCATCTATCAGTGACATAATGAATTCATCATCCTCTTCATTAGGGTAGTCATTTGACTCATCTCTCATTTCTTGTTCAACAATCTTGAGGAGGTTATTTTCCCTTTTCCCTTATCATTCTTTATTTTCTTTTCTTATTAATAATAATTTTTTTAGATTTTTTTAATTTAATATACAAATCAAATCTTTATTTCTTTTTTATATTAAAAATTAAAAATTTTGATTTAATTTTCGTATCGTATGATACATGTATCGTATCATATCGTATTGCACGATACAGTATCGTATTGTTCGATACAAATCCCTTTCTGATACACCACACGGTACGTATCGCTGGGCTTGTGAATCGTTTCGTATAGTATATCATGTGTCGTACGATACTGATAACTATGCTTGATATCCTCCTAAAAGAGGCAGAAAACTCATCAT